GGGTTTAGGGTTTAGGGTGCATGGAACGTGGTCACATGAACATGAACCACACATCTATATACTTTATACATGTATATATGTGCGTTCGAGAAGCAGAAGCTTCGGCGTCCCGGAGCTCCTGCTTTACGTTCTTCAACTTTTCTCTCAGCGCAGCCTGCAGACAATATGGCACACTACAACAAAAACGGTTTGAAAGTGTATGTTGGATACACGCATACAGCCTGATCATCTAGATCGCGATCTAAGGCAGCAAGGCCGGCCATGAAGGTCGAACAGGACCTCTGCAGATTTTGTTTTGCGAACATATTTTTGGTTTACAATCACATGACAGCATGCTGACAACACAAATTTCAAGCCCCGCACCCCTGGGAGTCCAAAACAGACATGGCCCACCACCGCTGAGCTTTGGAAAAAGCTTGCGAGAAGATCAACTTCAGATCAACATATTTTGTAAAACTTCCGTACAAATCTTTATGTCAAAGCCAGCATGTCCGGCGTACGGATTTTGTACGGGTGCTTGGTTGGCCACACATAAGCGTCGTACGGGTCCGTACGGGTTTTGTACGGGTTTTGTTCGGGTGTTCTTTTTGTGAAAAAAATATGCATATCAGGAAGATGTTGCTAATAGCATCACGACAACCATGAATGCGTTCAATGTTCCTAACAACTGATCAAGGTTACTGCTGTATGTGTCATGTTGTTTCTTATGAAAAGTTGCGTTTGCTTACCAGAACCATTGACTTTGCACACAAATTCTCACGTTAACCTAAGACACAGCAGTAGGTATGCTATGGAAAAACACAGGAACCCCACTGCGTCAGCTAGAACCAGTCATAACAACCACATTTGTATTTATATGTTTTGTGCGTGCCGATGGCCAACAACACGCACACGAAGCAACACGACACAAACGTGCAGGACCCAAACCTGCCCATACAAAACCCGTACAGAACCCGTGCGAGCCCCTACGAACCGAAAGGGATGTATGCACAGCATTTTGTTCCGAGAGAAGAGACCCAGGACCCGAGAATTAAAGAGTTGCACGAGCCCAGCATATATGTGTATATCTACATATATATATATATACATATAACAGTCTGTTTCGTCTATATGTATGTATCGCAGGACCCAAAACTGCCCGTACAAAACCCGTACGGAACCCGTACAAACCCACAGAGCACCCGTACAAAACCCGTACAGAACCCGTAGGGAGCCCGCGCGACCGAGGTTGATATGGATCGACAGCCTATACAACATAACATCGGGTAGGTAGTAAACGTAGGTTCACAACAAAGTGGTGACACACACATAACATAATCATTTTAGGCGTTAACATCAACCAGCTGAAATTGCAAAATCCACGAGAGACATGGTAGCAACGATAGGGAATTCAGAAGTTCCGTTTAGCAGGACCATTTTTGGTCTGTCATAACATTTCATGCCAAAGTGTCCTTTATAGTTTGTTGGAATCTCAAGCAATATCTAGCACAAATCCACTTTGGAGCCTCGTTTCAATCAACTTTGGTACATTTCTAGTAGACATCCATATGTTTTCAATTTGGGGAGGCCTCAAACTAGCTTGGAAGGCTTGAAACTGGGTTTTGATGGTCGGAAATGCATAGTTTTGGGTTTTCTACGCAGAAGGCCTAGGAGAGGTTTAGGAGTGGAAATCAATCAGCACCTAATATCATATGTAGATAAACCTACTATGTTGGGTAGTACACACACATGCACATGTCATGAAAGATTGAATCATAGAATTAAGTATTCTATGATTCAATGGTTGTCATGAGCACATGAAATGAATCCCAGAATCAACGATATTCTAGGATTCAGCTTCGGCAGCCCGGGATCCAATGCATTCTTGTCTCGAGGTTGCAAGAATGCATTGGATGAGTGGCATGCATGCGTGCCATGGATGTATGTGAACGTGAGTATGTTATGGTATGTTATGTTATGTTGTGATTTGCTGGATTCTGCTGTGCGATGTTATGTATATGTATGTATCTATTTAGGTATGCATGTATGTATGTATGTATGTATGTATGTATGTGTATGTATGTATGTATGTATGTATGTATGTATGTATGTATGTGTGTAAAATGTATGTATGTAT